CTAGCTACCTAAGAGCAGAGAAAAGCAAAAGCCAGAACCATGTGGAATGCCAAACACTGCTCTGTGATGTTACATTTGCCTTCTCTAGGTTAATTATGCTTCATGTTCCCTGCCCAGGCGGGCACATCTCCTCTGTTTGTAGGTGTCTATCAGAGAGTTGGCACCCTTTTAACTGAGCGGTACAAGCCATGCATCTAAAATAAGTCATGCTGTTTTATGATAGCTGGTAAAAATAAAGCCTTACTAGCACAAGCAGCTATAACAGCACAGAGGATTTACAACTGAGTGGGTTTTTTCCAGGGTGGGCTGGCCACAGTCTGGTGATGGCCTTTTTATAACCGTTATCAGCTCCCACACAGACCAGGTCCATCTGTTACTTAATTTGAACGGAGACACTCCTAAGCTTTTGTTCGCTAATCTCACGCCGCACATCTACATTGTTCTCTAGCAGGGCAGCCCACCCGTGAGTCAGGCTTGGCTTGCTGATCTTGGGGAGGCACCATGGAAAACTGGAATAAAAGAAAGGCACACAGCTCGCTCTGGTCACTTGACCAGTGTGGTCCACCTGCCTGCTCCCATGTATCGGCTTGAAGGGGCTTTTAACCTGCAACTTTGATGCCAGCTCCTTGGGCTGGAGGCAAGGGTTGCAAGTTAAGACTGAATATTACAAAACATTTCTGCACCCTTTATAAATCCAGTCTTTATATATCACAAGTACATTTAAGTCCCTGAAGCTATTGCCAAAGCCCCAGCCAAAGGACAGTTGGATCAAAAACCCCAAAAACCTACCAGAGCGGGTTAGGCATTTTTTGGTGTCTCATTCCTATGCCATGCCGTGTCGCTTGTCCTACACCACTACTGGCACAAGTTGCGTTGGGGAATGGCAACAAGATGCACTGGGGATAGAGAGGAGGGAGGATGAAGAGCCTGAAGCACTGAGAGACACAAGGATGGATATTTCAAGGTGCAGATGGTCAGATGTTTCTGAAAGTTAGGGCTTATGGTGATTTCCTCAAAACAAGCTGAGGGCAGAAACTAGGCTTCCCTCTTCCTTGTCTTTTCCAGCCCAGCACTGTGTGGCTTCCTCTGCTCTTTCTCTGGAGGTTTCCCGCACGTGTAACAGTTGGCTTCCTCCCTACCGCATACACACAACGCTTCTAAGGCAGGGACGGTCCTGGGGTCAGCTGGGCTGCCCTTAACAACAATGCTTGTCTCCTGCCTGCTGCTCTGGTCGTGTCTGCTCTACCATCCTTGTCACCATTTCTTTCACTGCAGCTCACAGTATTAAGGATGGATGCTCTAAGGGGCATCTCCAAACTGGCAGTCGTAAATGCGCTGACGTGCACAGGGTTCGGCTAACACCGTTTCTAACACCTAACAATATATCACTTTCAGTAGCTCTCCTGCTACACAGAGTAACCAGCCAGAAAGCGAAGATGCTTAACAAGGCATGTGGTTGACAGCAGCATTCCCACATGGCTCAGATGCGTTTTGAATTGCAAATCAAGCAATGGCTTGGTGATGATGGACACCTCAAGCAAGGCACATTTTTGTTGCTTTAGTGGGCAGGTGTTTAAATACAGCTGCGTGTTTTTGTACTGCTTGTGCCTGACAGTGCATTAACTAAAATTAACGTGTCATGTAACTGCAATATTGGCAAAGAAGCACTGAACAATACTGCAGCATAGACTGTTGGCAGCAACTTACTTGAACGGTTTACCTTGCCTATAATACTTCAGGCATACTTCACCTCTTTTTCAAATCTCTGCCAGAGTTTTTAAACAGAGAAGAGATTGGGATGGAAGGACATGGAAGGTCAGGCTTTACTTTAAACCCGATACAGAGAGAGGAGATTGAACACACTCTACTTGTCTATAAAGCTGCTAGGTTTTTTCCTGAAACTATAGTTTCAGTGTAGCATTTTTAAATGATTCAGATAACATGAGTCACAGTAACATGCATGGGCTGGATCTCCTTAGCTGAAAGAAGTGCCATAAGAATATGCTATAGATTGCCTTGTCCTGGATTCTATTTTGGAGAACTGATGGCATTTGGGATTCAACCGTATGTCTGGCTGAGTCTGTAGCACATACAGATCTGGTAGGTATTCGGAGATGTAGCACATACAGATCTGGTAGGTACGTCTGTTGTGGCATGCATGCTGCTCTGGAAAGGAATGCATGTCTATGCCCGGCTGTTCTCCAAATCCTGGGCGCTGAGGCCTTTGAAGTGAGATTTACATAACATAACACAAAACCTTTGCTGCTTATTTACACTGGGCTGAAAGAGGCCAAAGGGAACATCTTTGGAATACTCTTTTTAAAAGGTGGCAGTTGCCACTAATGAGGATTTAACCCACAAAACAAAGAAACCCGTAAGTGTGGTCACCAGAGAGACAAGACTTGCCAACGGCAGGGAAATGTGACATAGCAGAGGTGCCCTGGCCCCTTGAACGGCAGAGTGCTAACACCTGGGAAGCCGTGGCTTGGTGCAGATTCCTCCAGCCCCAGGGAGACTGGTGAACAAGGGATACAAGTAATGCTAAGAAGAGCTGGAAAGGTGTTCTGCTCCTGTTCTACAGTCTACATGGTCACTTGAGGTTTTTGTTTTGGCTTGCTCCCTGCATAGCTGTAGCCTTCTTGTAATTTAGAACATACTACTTGCAGTATTCTTCTGCCACACACAGAAGAATAAATCTGTCTCAGCAGTGATTTAAGCAGCCCCATTGATCTCTGCCCATAGTCAATACATGGACTAATGTCAGAACCTCTCACACAGTCTCCAAGGACTCAGCTTCTGTCTAAAATTTGTTGTCATCCTGCTTTGTGCCTGAGGGATAAACCTAAATCTCTTGTGTTTAGTGGGTGGGAAAAAGCCTGCTGTGAACAATTTCTGAGAAATGAGATGGGGCCAGAGTTTGATGGAGTCCCACTGTCTGGGAGTGAATACTTTTAGAGTCGTAACTCCTTCGGAGTAACACAACATTGTGGTATTACTGTCTTCACCTTCAACTGAACTTATATCATAGCTACAGTAGATGTACTTCAGTAGGGCTGTTACCATGCTACCGACCTGATGGGACGCAATTTTTCTGAAAAAAGATGTTGTAAACAAGAATATATAACAAAACCCAAACTGGTACATCAAGTTCCCTTTAAGGAACGAGGAACCCTTTCCCTCGCCATCTTTCTTTAGCTTTTCCAAAAGGAAGATTTATAGGATAGTACAGACCAGATAGATGCTGTGCGAGCTGCCTTCTGTGGCTCTTCAGGTGCAGCGTAACTCATCTGCTACTTCAGGTCTCGGAAGAAAGCTCTCAGTTGTAGCAGTGTCTTTGTAATGCGGTTCCCCGAGGAAGAAGAGTGCTGTCTCCGAAGAAGGCAGAACCTACAACTCTCTCCCTTTTGAAAACTTGAGCCAAACGCATTATCAGAGCCACCTGTCCCAATCAGGAAGCCAACCAGGATCTCCCCAGTTAAGCTGAGAGCTCAGGCTTGAGCCCTCAAGAAAAGCTTTCTGGGTTCCAGAAGCAGGAGTCTCACAGCAGAAGCGATCAAATGCCTTGTTTGTTTGAAGGTGCCTTACACTATTGTTGAAAACGTGTCCCAGGATTTCAAAAGGGGTTTTCCCAAGATTGTTTCTTGTCTTCTGGTGACTTCTAATGCTCTGGGGCTTTGCTGAGACCAGTGAAATCTGTTTGTGCTCACGAGGGAGCAAAGCAAGGATCACAACCCCAGACAAGGATCACACCTGAGAGGACGAGAGATGAACAGAGGGAAAGGAACGTGTCAGCATCTTGTAGCGTAATTACCTTTTTTCAAGGGGTAGGTCTGGAAGCACCAGGCCTGATGAAAATGGGCTCTGCTTCAGAGCGGACTTGAACAAATTACCCGTGGTTGCTTAGACCACCTTCTGACTGAAACAAACCCGGACCCGGGCACCTGCTGTGACCTGCTGAGAACCAGCTCTGAAAATGGCATTTTCCTGGTTCTCCGAAGCAAAGCATAAGCAGACTGAAAGCAAAGTGCTCACTGCACTGCCCTGTTAACTCATTTCAGCTCTGATACACAGGACTTCTCCCCGATAGCTACATTCTAGTCCAGAGCACTGTCATCTTAGTTCAATATTGGATTTCTCCCAAATGCTGCATGAGTCTCCCAAGTGCAGAAGGGGGAAGGGTGGAAAGGTCCTGCTAAGAGCAGTTTTGGCTGGGCCAACTATTAGTTTGCATCGGCCGATGGCGTTTATGTGAGTAACAATTATTTTGTACACAAAGGCAGCTTCTAAACCTTGCCAAACTTCAGCTCTCCCCAGTGGTCTTTGGGGTATAAGCACCGAGAGCCAAGGCACTGAGGAAAGTGTCGGCATTTAACAAATGAGGGATCAGAATCGGCAGGGAACGTTTAAAAAATGCTGAAAAGATTTTAGGTGTTCAAGGCCCTTGAGCTTTCAGGGGGAGTGACTTTGCAGCTCTTGGGTATTTCTCGGACTGCTGCCTTGCTCTGTTACGCTGTCTGATCCACTCCACCAGAGGAATTTTGCCCCCGGATTGTCAGATTCTCTCTGTCCAAAAACTTGCCACCCTGAAGGCCAGCACACAGGAATTTCCAGCTGTCCATCATGATGCTGAAGATCCTTTCTGTCTCCACACCTCCCTTCAGCTGCTTTTTTTGCTTTCTATTCGGGTTTGTTATGACATTTTTACAATGAGTAATACAGTCTTAACCTTTAGATACATCCCTTCTCATGTCACTAAGGCACTGGTTTCCATCATCTTTTAACTTGCTGTTTGATCGAATGCCCAGTGAAGTCAGCGGGCATCCTCCCTTAGATTTCAACAAACTTTTGATTGGATTTGTAACAGCAAAGTTGCATAGGGGGCCATGGCATACCCCTGTAGCTGATTATTTGGCACCAATTACAGTATGTATCCTCCTCCTGTAAGAGAGGGCTTTGGAGCAGCCTGTGTTTTGTGAATACCATAGTCTGACTGAGAGGTGATGGGCTTTGTAACAACCAGTACACCGAGTTCCAAAATACGCTCTGTGATGAAGGCATGGCTTGCCTCTGCTGTCTGGTTTGCATTCTTCCTACTGCGCCGTGCTGGATACTGCCTGCTTGTTTCCTTCTCCCTCAAGAGAGTTGATGGTGAGTGTGGGCATCCGTCAGCGCATCTGTGTTGTTGGTACCTGCTCCGGTGAAATGCACAGCAGCAAAGACAAGGAAGGCAGATTTTTCAAAATAAAATAATATGCGAAAGAGGGAAAATGACTGTATTAATTGGAGACATTTTGGTGCTCAGAGCAAGACGGACAGCAAAGGGAAATAGCTGGTGGTATAAGGATGCCTTGCAGCATTGCATGATTGAGCTTTCGTCCCAGTGTCAGTCTGGCTAAGACCCTAGCCAAAGAGCTGAACTCCTCTGTTTTCTCCCGAATCACAGTCCTCTCATTATTTACTACCTCACATTTTGCATTACCACACTGAGTCTTAAAATACTTGAAGATGTAATGGCTGTATGTTAGAGGCCTGGCCCATTTCAGCTTCTAGGAACCGACTGGCACTCCTGAGGGTGGTCTGCTTCCTGTCTGTTCCCGATCATCAAATTAATTTGCAAAATAATACTTTCAGTCTTGCGTTATCAGAGTAAGAGTTCCTTTACCATCTAAATAAGCATAAGGCACAAGGAAATGGCTTGTGCTGGCACTGTTTGTGTGCCATTAGGTTAATCCTCCTCTTTAATTGCTACTTCTAACAATTATATTTTCCTGTATTTACACCACAAATAAACTTAGGCCTGCCGGACTGGCATTAGTAGCCAGGAATAGGTTTTATCTAGGGAAGTTAGTCCTTGTAGCTGGCTGAGAAGATTTCTCAGCAGGCAGTGTGTTTCTAGCTGGGTGACTTATGAGCTGTGCTGGTTTTTTATTACCTTCTGTTTGTTTTTCCAGGCTGCAGACTCTTGGCTGTGGAGCTGACATCCAGCAACACCAAGCCCGTGGTGCAGGAATTCCAGAGTGAGTGTGGCGGGGGCCCGCTGGCTGCACTGCTCCCTGCCTGGGGATTTGCATCAGCCCAAACAATTGAGAAAAATTTTGCTTATTGCTCATGGTATCTGGTTTCTTGGGGGAGGCAGGACTACCGAGAGCCTGAGATTCAGAAAAGTGCTTAAGAATATGTCGGTATCTCTCCCTGTTTAGCAAAGCACTTGATTGAAATGGTTTATTGAAGTCCCCTGCAAGCCATCGGCATTGCAAAGTGTCTGCCTAAGTGCTTTTTTGAACTGGATCCCAAAAGGAGGAAAGGCGGTCGCCTTGCAATTAATATACTGAAAAGAGGGTCGGGAAATTTGTATTTTACCTTGGCCCTCCTACAGACGTGCAATGCGATGCTGGGTAAGCCACCTCTCAACCCTGCTGCGATGCCCTCTTCCGTAGAGAAGATGGAGATGACAATGCCGACTTCAAAAGGGAGTGGGTTTGCTGAATTTGTCCCCAGGCATCACGGTCCTCAGTACATTACCAGACACCACCCAGGGAGATTCTGCGTCCCTGACTGACATTGTAGGCTCTGATTAGCAGCAAGACAGTGCTGTGGACTCACCCTGTCATAAGGTCTTGTTTGCCCTAAGTTAGAGCCTGTAGAGAACAGCATGTTCCTTTCTCTCCATAGTTGATATCTGTTCGACTGTTATTTTTGCTGGCCAAAATCCATCTTCCCCAATAGCTCCTGGAACCCAGCAGTGTTTCTGTTTGTGAGGCAGATGAAAGAGAAGGCTTTGCTTTGTGGGCAGGATCTCCTAATAAAACACTGCACAAGACAGCTTAAAGCAGAGCAAAAATACAGCTGCTTCCTATTAATCTGTATTTCCTTTATTTCTCCTGGTAGGTGTTGAGCTGTCCTGCATCATTAAATCCACCGTAACACCAGATCCCAGAATCGAGTGGAAGAAAATCCGAGATGGCGAAACCTCCTATGTATTTTTTGACAATAAAATGCAGGGTATGAAGGTTCATTGTTCTTAGACTTCCAAAACAGCCTCAGAAACAATACAACCGAGAACAAACAAGTCTGTAAAAGGCAGGACCTCCGGCTGTCTTGCTGCTTTCTTCTGGAACTAGAGTTCAGCAGTGGAAGTGCAAGATGGAGAGAGAGCAGGATGTTCTTTGCTCTCTACCCTCATTATTGACAGTTCACAGTGGGGAGCCACAAAGAGCTGGAGTGAGATCCTAGGTGGGAGGTACTTCTCAGGTGAGAAAGCAAATGCTACAGCTTCCCTTCTCCAGCACCTGTGGGTCCTTCCATGGTCACTGGGCATCTGAGCTCTCAGGACCAGACACTGACCCCTCCTGTCTTTCCATATGACATCGGAGGGCTCCACCTCCACTTCAGAAGGGATCTCTGTCTTGAGCTGTCAGTGCTTACTGCTGCGGTGGCACGGTGCTTTGCCGCATCCCACGAGCACATGATTAGAAGCAGACTCTTTGGCTTGATGGTGAAACTCAAACACAGGACTGCCAGTAGGGCTTGACTCCATCTGGAATTACTCCAGTGCTTTAGGGGGGACCACCAGCCACATCCAAATGAATCTTCTGAAGGAGACAAGACCTGAGGCTGTCTTGGAAGTCTGATTTGAGATTTGAGATTTGGAGTGGTGCTTTCCAGTTCATCCTCTTACATGGTTAGCAGCATTGGTTTCATTTGAGGTCACTGGTGAAAGGAATGCTCTTAACTGTCAGGCATCAAGTTCCTTTTAGTTGGTTCTCTTGACTCCAGAAAGAGTTCAAGATCAACCACCTAATTCAGACACCTAAAATTAGTCTGTGTGAGTACCCTGAATTTTTTCTGTCTCTTTCTTCTGTATCAGGAGACTTTGCAACTCGTGCAGAAATTCTGAGCCGGACATCGCTGGTGATTAAAAACACCACCCGGATGGACACTGCCACATACCGCTGCGAAGTGGCAGCACCTTCTGATACTAAAACCATAGATGAGATAAATATCCAGCTCACAGTCCAAGGTATTGCTTTAAACCTAGTTACCTCTGCAAGCACTGCTAGCTAACCAAAGAGGGTGTGGGTCTTTCCAGAGTTGAAACAGTGGCACTCTGGAAGTTGTTTAAAACCAGCTGGAAATAATGGAATGTTTTGATGGCTTTGTAGCACAGCCATCTCAGAAAGGATGTCAGAAATTACTTAGTTCTCCTCGGCAGTGCCATTCACATGCTCTGTGTCTTTCCCACAGTGAAACCTATGACTCCTAGATGCACTGTGCCTAAAGCTGTACCTGTTGGCAAGACAGCCTCTCTTCACTGCCACGAGAACGAAGGTTACCCAAAGTCCACTTACAGCTGGTACCGCAACAGTGAACCTTTATCACCAGACACAAAATCGAATTCCAAATTCCAGAATTCCTCCTACACCTTGAACCCCACCACAGGCACTCTGGTAATGTCCTTACAGACATAATCAAGGCTTGTTTCGCTGAACAGGTTATTTTTAACGTTGCTTGTAAAAGAAAAAAAAACCATCGCGTGGCTTTCAAGAAGGGTACGATTTGAAGAAGGTTAGGTGTTCTAGGATCTGGGTGAGTTGGAAAGGGAAGTTTAATGATGGAATATCCTAGCTGTTTGGTTTTGATCATCGCCGGCACCACTGGCCTTTTTAGAAGGAGGGAAAGAAGACGTCTCACAGCCCACTGTGAAGCCTGGGAGAGTTACTTATACATGTTTATACCCTCACAATGCCTTCTGTTTCTCACGTCCTACTCCCCTCCCTCTTCTCCTCACCAGGTTTTCCATGCTGTGCACAAAGGCGACACAGGCCGTTACTCCTGCATAGCAACAAACGATGCTGGCTTTGCCAAGTGTGAGGAGCAGGAGATGGAAGTCTGTGAGTGGCTCTACATACTTTTCATCAATGCTGATTAATGAATCACCATAGGAAAAGAAGGGGGACATCCTAGAACATTAATTCTTTCCTGCTTTCTCATAGCCCCCAACACTTGAAAGAAAAAAAAAAAAAAACAAAACCTAAAAATTCAGGGAAACATTAAGACGCTGCTCAGATTCATGAACAGTTTTAGTCTCAGAATCAGGGACTTGCTTGTTCCCTATGAGTTATTGGAGTTTGGTTAAAATATTTGACAGATGTCATTTTAGTGTATGTAAAGCTAGAATATTGCTAGTGCCTTAAAGAAATACTGGATGAAGGCTTCTCTCTTTGCCAGATGACCTCAATATTGGTGGGATAATTGGTGGAGTCCTGGTGGTCCTAGCAGTTTTGGTGCTCATCACTCTTGGTATCTGCTGCGCCTACAGAAGGGGTTACTTTGCAAACAGCAAAGAAAGCGGGGAAAGGTAAGCTGGGATTCAAAGAATTCTTGTACAAGTCCCTGCGCCACAGCTAGCATGAAGTAGTCAGAAGGGCGCCAGAAATTGCTGGCTAAAATGTATTTCAGTGCCTGACTGGGACACATTTCTTTTTAGTTCCCTACCGAAGACTACAGGCGAACGCAGTTCTTGAAGTATCCAATTCCCCACTGTAAACCCTGCACCGTGCCAAAGGTTTATTTGCCTAAGGGAGAGTTTTGGTATGGCTCCTCTTGTGCTTGCCACCAAGACCAGACAGAGGAGTGAAAGCTGTGCTCTAATATCCTCATACTTTGCATGGGAAGGGGAGCACCAGCACAATTAAATGCCTACAGGTGTTTGTCCAATAGGTTCTGTGCTGTTGGCATAATGAGGTCTACAATTTAATGAACAGAGCTCACTGCACAATTAGTTTCAAGCATCAGGACATGCGTAGAAAATATATGCAGAAGAGTAGGCTCTCTACAGGAAATCTCACTAGTTGTGAGAACCTAAATTTGGGATTAAAACCAACCATTTTAGAATGCACATTAAAATGTTAAAACCAACAGCATTAGCATCAGAAACAAGCCTTGATGTCCTTACAGAATCTGTAGAAGAGATAATATATGTAAAACCAAGATTCTCACCAGATAGATTTGTTCCATGTTAAATGTTGCTTTTCAGCAGAAGTCTTGTCTTTTTTTGTTTGGCTTGTTTTTCAGAAAAAGCTCCAAATATCCTATTTAAATGCAGCTGAGGGTTGGCATACGCTGGACTTGACAGTCGTATATAAATTCTGAATTCCTATGGGATTGCAAACAAGTGGTGCTTCCTTCTAACTAAGGAAAATGCTGAAGGCACCCGGCAGTGAAGGTTTAAAATGAACTTTATAATTGCCACAGGAAACAATGCAGGAGGCACACAGAAAGGCAGTGCACAGGGACCAGAGCAGGAGAGCCCTGGAAAGAGTCAGCTAATCTCTTTGCAGAGTTTAGTCTTGTGGAAACATACAGCAATCTTTTTACCCTGTGCTGAAGGGGAATTTAGAAAAAAATCCCAGTCATTGCGAATGATGGAAGAAGCACAGATCTATCATTTCAGCGGTGAGCTGGGTTTCTCTCTGCTTTTTTGTTCAACTGCTCTTCCTAATTTTCATCTTTCTCTGCACCTCTCCTCCAAAATCCTGCAGTTTCCTTGTCCCAGAAATGAGATCTTTTCCTTTATTTCAGCTACAAGACTCCAGCAAAACCTGATGGTGTTAACTACATCCGGACAGATGATGAGGTAACAAATGATTTGCATTTAACATCTCTCTGTTTAGGAGAGGAAGAGGGTGGGCAGAGGACTACTAACTTCTTTAGGGCCTACAGACTTTCTTAGAGTGGGCACCACTGAGAAGCAAGGATGTAGAACAGAGAGAAAACAGAAGGGTGAAGGCTGAGTCATTTCCTCAGAAATGATGAACAGTTTCAGTTGCCTTAAGTGACTGATGCCAAGAGCTATCAAATGCAGCTCTGCTCTGTCTGTTATCTTATGGCTTGACCCCCTTAGGATGAGTTTCATTGGATTAAGTGGGCAGGCCGCGATGCTTTTGCAAGAGAATTTGCATTTTGGGATTTGAATAGATCACTAAGCTTAAGATGAGAAGAAGCCTCTCCCTATTAGCAGACGTACTGAAGAGGGAATGAGATAGTCCCCTGCCATGCCTCGGTATGTGAGGAGGGCAGTAGGAGAAGGAGGACCTGGCCAGTATGACTGGTTTCTCCCTCTCCTTACCAGCTGGAAGGGGTTGCTACCTAGACAGAATGCTAGCAGTTACACAGATTGGATCTACCTTTCATGGGCACGTTGCAGTTGGGGGCAGCAGGAACAAAGAGTTGCCTGGAAAGCCACTAGATCCCTCCTACATCCCGAACTGTTTTGTTGCAGGGTGACTTCAGACACAAGTCTTCGTTTGTCATATAAGACGCCAAAAGAATATTGCAAACCAGCAAAAGCAAGTGTGAGAATACCTCCTCCAGGAACTCAGTGCGAGAGCAAAATACGAATTAAGTGCGCTTGGAAGAGTTTGGAACACACAAGAACTTGATAGCTAGCTATCGGTATATCTTCTTTTTCTTTGCCAAAGTTTAAAGTAACTCCTCACTGCCCAACTTGCATCTCCCCTGCCTCCGGAGATACCAACAGGATCACCTAAACCTGTCCTTGGACTAAGGAAGTGTTGTGATGCTTCCCAGGAGACTGGGCTGTGGAAGTTTGTGGAATTGCCTTCTATTTGTGCTGCAGGGACACAGCCACAATGTGCAAACCAACCAGGGGAACAGCGTTAGGTAAACGTGTAGTAGACGTTACTAGTACATATTACTAGTAGACAAAAAAAGGTGCTGATACGGCAATAGATGGACTTCAAAGAATAAGATTTATCCATGCAAAGGGGAGTCTTCCTCTCAGCAGCTTGTTGCCCAGGCCTGGCTGGTGACTTCTACACATTTGTGATTGTCTTGCGCTTTTGACTCTGACCGCTCAGGTGCAGAATGGGGTATCTGCATAGCCTACAGTGACATACCGATGCAGTAAACGCAGCTAATTTTCTCAGCCCTTTTGTAAACTTACTCAATTCTCATTACTCCATCTAACATGAAACACGGGCAGCATCAGGCCAGAAGGATTGCTTCTGTTCGCTGCTTTATAGAAAACTCATTGCACGCAGGTAACCCCTCATTCTAATCTGCACAAAGCAGGCTTGCCTCTTGCGTCTTTTGGTGTTTTTATTAAAGAGGCTTATAGTGGAGGCAGAGAACCTAGTGCTAAGACATCCCTTTCAGGAAAATTAAAAGCCAAATACTTCCATGGGCTAAGATTGCCATAAAAGGTACTGAGATATCTTCAAGCTTTTTTACCTTCTCCATTTATTTTGTAAAATCCCACATTCTAAATTTTTTGCAAAGATATATTTTGATTACTTCAGAAAAGGTAACATTTCTATTTAAAGTGTAAATACGTGATGCCAGCAGTGTTTAAGTAATGTAGCTATTTTTTTACTTTTTAAGCTACAAAGAGGAGCTCAAATGTTGCTATAGTATGGCACTGTCAGAGCATATCAGTATTACAGCAAAGTATAATAAAAAAACTGCAGGTGGAACAGCATCTCTTTCCTCTTCAGCTAGCTTCAGCAATTTCCTTGTCACAAGAGGTCTTACCAGACACAGAACAGAGTCACTCAGGGATAGTTTTTGTAAATTTATGGCAGGAGCTATCAACTTTTTTATATATAAAACTTAGTTTTCTTGCCAGTGACCAACACTTTGTTTTTGTTGTTGCAAGAAATACCCAGGGATGGCTTTTGGATTCAGTTCCAACAAGGCGACAGAGTGACTTCAACGTTTGCTACCCCTCTGCAAGTTCCCTAAAGCACTAACACAGTGTGACAGCTACGGCAACTTTACAGGTTTAAACTACATAGCCAAGGCAACTGTTTCTGGAGTTGGGAAAGCAAAAGCTCAATACAAAAGCACTTTTGACGTGTCAGTTGCAACTTTTCTCTAGCTGGTAAAAGAAAAAAAAGAAAAAAAAAAAACAGATCTCGTTCTCTTGGCTTTGGAGAGAATAATTGGAAACACGTGTTTCCCAGAAACATACATGTTGGTAGTGTTGAACAGCATTGGGTAATATAAGACTGCAAGATGTGGATGCAACACTAGAACTGTGCTGTGGTTTAAGAATTTTTTTTAATGTAGCATAATTTAGTGTTCTTGTATTTCCAATATGAATTGAGTTGTCTTAACTTTTCCTGTATACAGTATTTTGGATACTTGACGATTTGGACTGTCAGTGTTATTTTTTAGTGTTCTGCATTAATTGCTTTGTTTCCTAGGGGCCTCGCTGGACATGCCATTGCTGCATTTGTGTTTGCATTTGCAAAGTGTTACCGCTTCTCCTTTTGCTAATGAAAGCAAAAATAAGGATGGGGCAGCAATAGCCATATGTCCTCTGTGTAACTCGGACATTACCACCGCTGTCTTGCAACTACATCCTGGTTACCTTCTTAAGACATGCTCTTCAGCCAAGCCACACAGTCCTGTTCACTGGCTGCACGCTGCCTCTAATCATTATGACAGTAGTGAGCGTAACATTCCTTTGCACCTTCTGTATATCCACTACTCCTTTTCTATGCTGCTTTTAGGATACCTGTAATAAGGGAGAGAGAGAAAAGGTTTGAATCAGCGTAGCTCTGGGCACTATGGGAGCACAATCTGCAGTCTCACCATGAGCCAAAGGCAGCCTTCATGTGAAAAGCCAGCAAGCTAAGAATCAAGACTTATTTTTCAGTTCTAAAATGTGACAGTGGCATCTCTAACGAGAGAAGGGGAGATGGTCCCCCGATACAGCTCATGAGATCTGATTGACGGAATTCATTGTATCATTGTGAATAATATTCAGGTTTGTACTAATGTATTACGTTTAACTTTGCCAAGGATGTTTTACATAAATACCAAGCTATAAAGCATTCTTGTAGGGTTTTTTGTTTGGTTTTGGTTTGATTTTTTGAACAGTCATATTATTGGAGGCTTCTGTTTTCAATTCAGTGAAATAAGGGCCAGTCTCTTCCGTCAGAGCTTGTATTGGGCTGAAGGTTACAGAAAGTCCAAGGTATGGTGCTGTTTATTCTTAGACATTTGTCTATCACTGGTTCTCTAGAGAAGACAAGATTAATGCTCACAGGCCTCATCTCAAATACTGCTCGAGGACAGAACAAAAACTAGAAAAGCACAAATTAGGAAATAAACTATTCCAGTTTACCATTCAAAGTGGTTAAATAATATTTTAAGGCAGGAGAGAAGGTACCAAATAAATGGGTGTGGCCATAACTGACCATTGCTTAAGCCAAAGCCATTCCATACATCCCCTGTTCCCAGGTTTTGACTTTGATTTTGAGAATAAAGTTTAACCTCACTTGAAGCTTTCTCTGATCTTCAAACAGACTAGGGAAAGCGAGGGCAAATTCTGGGATTCCAGCGCAGGAGGTAAGTGCCTCTGGAAAGGCTGTGGCAAAAGCACCCTCAGCCTCTTTGTTTCCACCACTTGTGCAGAAAAGCCTACTCCATTTCTGTTGTTCATACCTGAGTAAGGCAAACCAGCATGAATAAAACAGATTCCATTTTCAAGTTTCAATGAAATCTGGGGCAAGAGCTCTGTAATAGAAGTTAACAATGGAAAAACTTCAGTTAAGTTCACATGGCATCAGAGAGACTCGGGAATGGTCAGATTCCAGCATTTACAGAGTGCATTTATGATAAACAAGTTATCTGCACAGAGCATAAAGCTATGCATATGACTTACCAACCTTGATTTTAGTGAGTTACTCATATCCTGCTTGCAGTCAAATAAGAGTCTATATTTAAAAGCTGCTGGGTTCAACATTAATTGAACTGAGTGCCTAAGATACCAGCGACGTAGTAGAAGAGACTTAGAGGCTGTAGAAATCTATAGAAAAAAATAATTTCTCTGTCAGATCAAGAAGAGGGGAGAAGCTGTGGGTGGAATTAATTCTGTAACCATTTATTTTCATAAAATGTTAATAGTTGGAAATAACATAGTTCAAGAATGGAAATATTCCATATAAAAGAACATTAAGGCTGTTCATACACACAGGAGTCTGCACAACAAATAGGAGGTGATGTACTGTGCAATTACCAGATTTAGGGGTGTGGCAGTGACAAGCTGTTTTACCTTTGTTCAAATTAAAGCAACTCTAGTATATAACCAAGAGGGACAATGAGGGATCGAGTGAATAAACTGAGCTGCTCACTTCCCTGCAAGCTGTGATAAATGCATTTACTGCTAAGCTTGTGGCAATATTATGCTCTTAAGTTTTCCAAATGGACAAATTATACATCCTGTGAGTGAAGAGCAAGCCTCCTTTATACTGCAGCTTTCTAGCACTCCATGAGCTTTGCAAACAGCAGCAGCTTATAATACATACATGTGTTAATGCAGGCTTTGTATGCCCATATTCTGGACAGTTTCATGTAAAAACCAAGTAACAATAGATAAGGAAGGAAGGACATGTGACCACAATGATTTATAATTACAGACGAAAAGGACAGATTTCAGGCAACACGATGATTCTGTACAAAAGTTCAATGAAAGGATCGGTTGTCTGGTTTCAGTGGAGTTCTCCGCTGGGACCGTCTCAGTGGGACACGTTGACTGCTTTTTTTCCTTGCTGGGGATTCTACTTTCCACTCCCGTGGCAGGGACAGACTAGAAGGAAGCAGAATGACCATTTATTTTAAAGCACTTCACCAGTCTTTCTCACCGTGATTGCCATTTCAGACCTGCATTGAACTTACGGTTTCTCTGGTGATGTCAAACAGATAATATCTCTTGGCTTATCCTCAGCCTCTTGATTCTCTGCAAATAATGCATATATTTTCATATTTTAAAAAATGCCACAGATTTGATCATTTGGGGTTTTTCCCCCCCCTCAAGTTAGAATCACAAAAATAACTTGCCTGAAGCTGAACCGGGTGTGTACGTCAAGCTGATGTAACTAACCCCAGCACCAAAAGTCAAGTCATTAATGGTCTCTGAAAGAAAAAACGCATATTAGTAGTCAGTTTGTGACATAGCCAGAGGGCAAGGCACGCTGTAGTAGAACACTTAAGTGTCACAGAGTAACTATATCCAGTTAATTGCAAGCACACATACATCTCTCTTTTCCAGCCCAGCAGATCTCACTGTCCCCCATCCAGCCTCAAAACTATGTCCCGAATCTGATGGGCCATCTGTGCACATCAGCTTCGTACTCCAGACTTAAAGACTTCCTTGTATGTGGAATAAATTAATTTAAATATGGGACCTCAGTCATGCCCCTTCTTGTCCTACTTAGGCAGGAGAGCCTCACCGTCCATTGAAGCTTTGCCTCTTTCAAAACAACATGTTAGATTCAGACCAGTTGCTTTGCCCAGTCAAGGCAGAACGGGGGGTCCCTGAAGACCGACAAAGGACCCGAACAGCCGTTCCGTGAGGAACTGCCTGCAGCCAGACAAGAGGAATCACTTGACAAGGGAGCTAGGTAGAATTTAGCTTGCTTGAATAGGCCATAGTTGTCAGCTGTCTCTTTCCTGTCATTTATCTCAGGAGAGATGTCACAACATTCAGATTTTACTTTACTCAATGCTCTGTTTTATGCTGCTGTTTCCCAGAACCTTTCATAAGGAATTAAGGTAGAAAGTGCTTTATTGGGCAGGAGTTGGAAACTCTGCTAAAAGAACTTCTCTCTACAGACTAACTGGATTTGCTCTTTAACCACGTCCCTGTCCTGGAAGGGAATCACTGAAGCTTGTAGTGGAAATCCAACTTGATCTATCTGCCTTAGCTGGCCTCTGCATCTCTCAAGACTGACCTACAAGTGTCCTGACTTTCTGCAGCATATGCCGTAAGAAGTTACCTTGCTTAGTGAGAAGTTTATGTGAAAGGAAGGAAGGAAGAAAATAATAAAGAATTGTCATCAAA